TTAAGGTCATGCCACAGCATTTCAATTGGGTTCAGGTCAGGACTCTGACTGGGCCACTCCAGAAAGTGTATTATGTGCTGTTGCAGCCATTGTTTTGTTGAATTACTTGTATGCTTTGGGTCATTGTCCTGTTGCATCACCCATCCTCTGCGGAGCTTCAGTTGGCAGACAGATGGTCGTAGGTTTTCCTGCAAAATATCTTGATAAACTCTGGAATTCATTTTCCCATCAGTGACAACAATCCGTCCAGGCCCTGAGGCAGCAAAGCAGCCCCAAACCATGATGCTCCCTCCGTCATGTTTTACAGTGGGGATGAGGTTTTGATGTTGGTGTGCTGTGCCTTTTTTTCTCCACACATAGTGTTGTGTGTTCTTCCCAAACAACTCAATCTTGGTTTCATCTGTCCACAGTATATTTTGCCAGTAGTGCTGTGGAACATCCAGGTGCTCTTTTGCAAACTTCAAACGTGCTGCAATATTCTTTTTGGACAGCAATGGCTTCCTCCGTGGTGTCCTCCCATGTACTCCATTGTTCTTTAATGTTTTCCTTATTGTAGATGTGTCAACAAAAATGGTAGCATGTGCCAGAGATTTCTGTAGACCTTTAGCTGACACTCTGGGATTCTTCTTTACCTCGTGCAGCATTCTGCGCTGTGCTCTTGCAGTCATTTTTACAGGACGACCAAGCCTAGGGAGAGTAGCAACAGTGCTAAACTTTCTCCATTTGTAGACAGTCTGTCTTACCGTGGACACATGAACATCAAGGCTTTTGGAGATACTTTTGTAACCCTTTCCAGCTTCATGCAAGTCAACAATTCTTGATCGTAGGTCTTCTGAGAGCTCTTTTCTGCGAGGCATGGTTCACATCAGACAGTGCTTCTTGAAACCAGTAAACCCAAAACAGGTGTGTGTTTTTTAAAGGCAGGACAGCTGTCAGCAACACATCCAATATCATCACACTGATTGGATTCAAGGTTGGCTCACTCCTGGCTCCAATTAGCTCTGGGAGAAATCATTAAGCTAGGGCCTCACATACTTTTTCCTCCCTGCACTGTGAATGTTTACATGTTATGTGCAATTAAACCATGGCAACATCTAATGTTTGTGTAGTATTATGTTCAGCAGACTGTGTTCTTCTATTGTTGTGACTAAGATGACGTTCAGAGCACATTTTATGCCCAATTCATGGAAAACTCCACGTAATCCCAAGGGGTTCACATACTTTTTCTTGCAACTGTATATATATATATATATATATATATATATGTGTGTGTGTGTGATTTTGCGCACCCATGCCACCCTGTAGCAGTATTTCTGCTATAGCACGGTCAGGAAGCGGTTACATAAACGATTTGTGTTCTGTAACTGTGTTTAACTGATAATTGCGCGGTCATGCAATGCTGCACCAAAATGAAATTTACGTCCTTTTTTCCCCACAAATTGAGCTTTCTTTCGGTGGTTTTTGCACTGTGCTAATGGCACTGGGGAAGAAGGGGTTAACATTTTCAGGCAATCAAAGGGTTAACCGTGTGAGGGGAGTGTTTCACTAGGGGGCGGGAGGTGTGTTCTTCACAGGAAAGTTGAACACTGCTCTCCGGAACAGTGTGCTGTAAACACTGCAGCCGTCCTGTCAGTGATTGGCGGTAATCGTGATTGGCTCACGCGCCCCCTACCCGATATGCAAAATCACGTATATATATATGTGATTTTGCACAGCGGTACCACCCTGCCGCAGTAAATGTACTGTGGCTGGTTGGTAACCGGTTAATGTATTAAAAAAAACAAAACACAATATATACCCCATTTTTTTGTAAAATATGAAAGATGATGTTATGGTAAGTAAATAGATACCATACATGCCACGCTTTAAAATTGGGTACGCTTGTGGAATGGTGAAAACTACGGTACTTAAAAATCTCCATTGCGACATAAATTACAGAGGTGGCCTAGCACTAGAACTATTGCTCTTGCTCTAACATTCACGGTGATACCTCACATGTGTGCTACAAACACCGTTTACATATGTGTGTGTGACTTATGTATGCGTTCACTTCTGCGTACAAGCACAGAGGGATGGAGTGCTTTCATTTTTTTTTTTTTTTCTGATTTATTTCATTTTTTGTTTTTACACTGTCCCTTTATTTTTCTTTATCACTTTTATTCCTATTACAAGGAATGTATATATCCCTTGTAATAGAAATAAGGATGGGAGATCTTTAGGGAGAGATCTGGAGTCAAAACGACCCTAAATACCTCCTTTACCTTTGCAAGCAAAAGATCAAAACACATTTTTTTTACTTCAAAAATACATAACTGATATCAATGAAATTAGTAGCATCTCTGCATGCAAGCTGCTTTTATAGCCTTTCTAGACCACATCCATTCAGCCTAATATGACCTGAGTGCGTGCCGGCACATGCATGAGTTACACAAAGCATTTTACAACAGAAGAGAAAAGTAAACTTAAAGCGGAGCTAAACACTCCTAGTCTTTTCAGAAACTATTGGGAATGTAAATGTTTTTTGAAAATGTTTTTTGAAAATAGATTGGCTTAGTTCTGCTTTAAAATATATCTGAAGGAATTGCAAAAACAGAAGAATGATATAAAACAAGTCATGATGCCAAACCTATTGAAAAACAGATTTTTGGCTTACATACACTTTTTAATTACATAAAACAATCTTCACAGACATTATCCCTTGTCACTTCCAGAAAAAATCATGCACGGTGAAACCCAGACCTTTCAAAGGTAAATATTAACAGTTCATCTGTTGATAAATCTTTAACCACTAGCCTACAGGGCACTTACAGTGGAGATCGAAAGTTTGGGCACCCCAGCTAAAAATTTGTATTAATGTGCATAAAGAAGCCAAGGAAAGATGAAAAAATCTCCAAAAGGCATCAAATTCAAAATTAGACATTCTTATAATATGTCAACAAAAGTTAGATTTTATTTCCATCATTTACACTTTCAAAATAACAGAAAACAAAAAAATGGCGTCTGCAAAAGTTTGGGCACCCTGCAGAATTTATAGCATGCACTGCCCCCTTTGCAAAGCTGAGACCTGCCAGTGTCATGCATTGTTCTCAATCATCGTCTGCGAAGACCAGGTTATGTCAATCTCAAAGGTTTTAAATGCCCAGACTCATCTGACCTTGCCCCAACAATCAGCACCATGGGTTCTTCTATGCAGTTGTCTAGAAAACTGAAACTGAAAATAGTTGACGCTCACAAAGCTGGAGAAGGCTATAAGAAGATAGCAAAGCGTTTTCAGATGTCAATATCCTCTGTTCGGAATATAATTAAGAAATGGCAGTCATCAGGAACAGTGGACGTTAAAGCAAGATCTGGAAGACCAAGAAAAATATCAGACAGAACAGCTCACAGGATTGTGAGAAAAACAATTCAAAACCCACGTTTGACTGCACGATCCCTCCAGAAAGATCTGGCAGACACTGGAGTTGTGGTACACTATTCCACTATAAAGAAATACTTGTACAAATATGGTCTTCATGGAAGAGTCATCAGAAGAAAACCTCTTCTACGTCCTCACCACAAAAATCATCGTTTGAACTTTGCAAATGAACATATAGACAAGCCTGATGCATTTTGGAAACAAGTTCTGTGGACCGATGAGGTTAAAATTGAACTTTTTGGCCGGAATGAGCAAAGGTACGTTTGGAGAAGAAGGGGCACAGAATTTAATGAAAAGAACCTCTGTCCAACTGTTAAGCATGGGGTTGGATCAATCATGCTTTGGAGTTGTGTTGCAGCCAGTGGCACAGGGAACATCTCACGAGTAGAAGGAAAAATGGATTCAATAAAATTTCAGCAAATTTTGGATGGTAACTTGATGCCATCTGTGAAAAAGCTGAAGTTAAAGAGAGGATGGCTTCTACAAATGGATAATGATCCTAAACACACCTCGAAATTCACGGGGGATTACATCAAGAGGCGTAAACTGAAGGTTTTGCCATGGCCTTCACAATCTCCTGACCTCAACATAATTGAAAATCTATGGATAGACCTTAAAAGAGCAGTGCGTGACAGCCCAGAAATCTCAAAGAACTGGAAGACTTTTGTAAGGAAGAATGGGCAAAGATACCTCAAACAAGAATTGAAAGACTCTTGGCTGGCTACAAAAAGCGTTTACAAGCTGTGATACTTGCCAAAAGGGGCAGTACAAGATATTAACTCTGCAGGGTGCCCAAACGTTTGCAGACGCCATTTTTTTGTTTTCTGTTATTTTGAAAGTGTAAATGATGGAAATAAAATCTAACTTTTGTTGACATATTATAAGAATGTCTAATCTGTAATTTGATGCCTTTTGGAGATTTTGCCATCTTTCCTTGGCTTCTTTATGGACATTAATACAAATTTTTAGCTGGGGTGCCCAAACTTTCGATCCCCACTGTATACCCCCTTCCTGCCCAGGCCAATTTCCAGCTTTCAGCGCTGTCACACTTTGAATGACAATTGTGCGGTCATGCAACACTGTACCCATATCAAATTTTTATAATTTTTTTTGAGACAGATAGAGCTTTCTTTTGGGTGGTATTTAATCACCTCTGGGATTTTTATTTTTTCTTAAACAAACCAAAAATCACTGAAAAGTTTGAAAAAAAATTTTTTTTTCTTAGTTTTTGTTATACAATTTTGTAAATAAGTGATTTTTCTCCTTCACTGATGTGTGCTAATGAGACTGCACTGATGGACACTGATAGGTAGCACTGATGGGCACTGATGAGGAGGCACTGGTAGGTTGCACTAATGGGAATTGACAGGCATCACTGATGGGCATTGACAGGCATCACTGATGGGCACTGAAAGGCAGCACTGATACATGACACTGATATATGACACTGATAGGCGGCACTGTTGGGCGGCACTGACTGGCACCGTTAGGCGGCACTGGCTGGCACTGTTAGGCGGCACTGACTGGCACTGTTAGGCGGCACTGACTGGCACTGATGCGCAATGATAGGTGACACTGACTGGCACTGATAGGTGGCACTGATTGGCAGCACTGATAGGTGGCACAGATTGGCATTGATAGGTGGCACTGACTGGCACTGATGGGTGACATTGAAAGGCAGTTCAGATGGGCACAGATATGTGGCATTGATGTGTACTGGTATGCACTGATATGTGGCATTGATGTGGCACTGATGGGCACTGGCACGTGGCACTTCTGGGGACACACTGATCATCAGGGCACACTGATCATCAGTGCCCTGATGATCAGTGTACATGTCCCCTCCGCGGAAAGCCGATTACCGGCTCCCCTCTCCTCTCGAGCTGTCAGCATGACAGCTCAAGAGGAGAGAAATGCTGATAACCAGCATTTCCGTGTTTACATGTGATCAGCTGTGATTGGACACAGCTGATCACATGACCGAGCTGACATCTTCGGCTTTTTCCATGATCCACTGTGGCCGAGGGACACAGTGCACTATCGATCGCCGCGCTGCGCGCTCCCTGAGCCGCGCATGTGCAGTGAGAATGGTAGGACGTCATATGATGTCCTGTCAGGGATCACCGCGACACACGAGTCTGCACATGCGTAGGTGTCCGACAAGACATGCAGGCAGGCGGGCACTAGGACCCAGGCGCGCCTGTCACCTATGACGGCGCTGGCAGGCACTAGGACCCAGGCGCACCTGTCAGCGCCGGGCGGGCGGGCTATTTAAACCAGCCCTGCACAGACACAAGTTGCCGTTTGGTCTTATTGTCCTGTTCCTGTATTCTGATCCTGTGAAGCTTCCTGTTGCCGACCTCTGCATTTGATCCTGACCCTGCTGATTGTCTCCTGCTTGACTCCTGGCTTGACCCGACCATTCTTCTGCCTGATCCTCTGTACCACGCTGCCCGTTAGTTGCTGAACCCGGCTCGTGACCCTGACCATTCTCTGCCTGCTCCTCTGGTACCTCGCTGCCCGCACGTTGCTGACCTGGCCTGCCTGACTACTCCTTACTCTACCCTGATGATCCATCCATCCATCCCGCACGGATCTGTCCCTGTTACCAGGCCTGCCAGCCTCTTCACGTCAGGCTCTATTTCCCTCACACCCCTGACAGTGCTCTTTACCACTACCGGACGTACTCGGGGGTCGCAACCTGGTCTCAGTCTGCTCCAAGTCCATCCCCACCATCAGGATCCCTGGTGAATAAGCAGATTAGGACTTAGACCCCCGCCCTGAGGAACCCCGCGCTGTGCGTTCCTAGAGACTCCGCCAGGTGGTGCTTGACACATCCTATCAGAGTGAGAGAACCACCTTGCACCCGTCATTGTACTATAGGGCGGGCGGAAGGTGGTTAAACATATTAGCTCAACAGGCATCTCAGGCTCTGGCTTTTAGGTAAGTACAAAACAGTCATATCCTAGAATTGTAGGCTGGAGCTCTGTGACACTAAGGCTAAGTTCACACTAATGCGGTGCAGTACATTGCATGTGATTCGCACAGGAACCGCACCGCATTCCTGTGCAAATCACATGCATTTTGTGTGCGGTGCGATTGGAGCCATACATTATATATGGCTTCAATCGCACCGCACCCAAAAGGTGCAGGACCCTTTTTTGGGTCTGCACTAGAATTGGATCGCATGGGTATTCACATCTATGTGATCTGATTCTGCATATCGCACCATGTTGTTAACTTGACATACACACCCACATCGGTTTGCATGAACGGGGTGCGATTCTGATGCAATGCGTAATTTGCACAGAAAACGCTGCAAATTCTGCACCACATCAGTGTGAACCCAGTCTGTGAGTGACTTTTGCAGGCAGGATGTAGCTCACAAAGTATGTTTCTGTTGTTATATTAAGGACAGGTCCTGCCAGGAAGATGTCAAAGAATGCTACCTGTTTAGTCATAACACAATTTTTCTCTAAAGATACCTTGTTTTTTCTTAGTTAAATTTTGTACGCAAGAATTTTACAGTATAACTATAGCAAAAGTTGAAATGCATTCAAACACCCACATTCTTGTTGCTGCAGCATATGACCTAAACCATTAGATTAAGAGGTGACAATCACAAATCCTGAATCATACATGAAATGTACAGAATGAAAATGTAAAATATATTTAGTGCACAACCACAGTAGGATACCTTAATTAGCACCACAACTGAGGCACATTACACATTGCTTAACCACAGGATTGGTGACATTGGAAGAATTCTTAGAATCAATTGAATTGAAGGTACGCAAATAATAAAAAAATATATATATATTTTACACAGAATTATATTTATTAGGGTTTCTAAATAAAACCATATCAACCTATACATTTATTTACCTTGCCAGATAACTATAGGTGTACCAAACACTACCAGCATATTACATAAATTGCACTGCATACAGCCCAAATTACTGTATGTATCTGCTCATACATAACAGTTTTTATATCCACAATACAGTCATCACAGTGATTAAGAACCATCATAATAGAAATCATATCACTCCGGATTCAGCATTTACACTCATGTATACAGTTACCTAAGGGATGAAGAATAGCTACAAAATGTATTATGTTGGTCCAATGTATACACACACACAGTGCTCATCTGCAATTGGTATCCCAAAAGAAGAGTGCAGAGTGTCCTAATAGGGAAATCACAACATTTCCCTCCATATGTAGCTCAGCAAATAGTATCACAATTTAGTAAGAGCTTGTGTTTTTCTGTGTTTATTGTGGTTTTGGAATGAAGATCAAATGCAGATAAGCAAAATCCCCAATTACTTTATTGAGCAGTACACATGACAGTTCAGAGACTTTGACCTTTGCATTGTGCTGTGTTCCTTTGTATACTGTATGTGTTATTGCGGTGCATTTCAACTGCAGTGGTTTCTATTTTTTTTAAAATAGCTGCATGTGATCAAATGAAAATTAGTGTTTGACAAGAACACCCATCAAAATGAGCACTATGGCTGATTTCTATGAAAAGTTGACGCGTTTTGGGAGTTGAACTCCCTTTTTCAAAGCTAAGATGATAGAGAATGCCCATGCCACATATATAGAGAGAATAACTGATTGAAATCATCACCACATGCCCTCCATGTAAAATAGCCCCACCGCTGGGTCCTAAAGCTATTTTCTGCATGTGTCACTTCCATGAAGTAAATGAATAGAAATAAATGATGCTTGTACAAAGATGTGTGCAAACAATGAACTGTATGCTGCAAGCATCTCGTCATATAAACTGGCCCTTAGGAACCTGCTTGACTCAGCTGTCCAGAACAAGATAGTTTCCAAACAGGAGTGGTCATTTTTATTTAGACCTTTCCCCATGACACCACATTTCTATCATATCCCTAAAATTCACAAAAGTGAAACCAACCCTCTCGGCCGACCCATTATTTCTGGGATCCACAGCCTCACCATTAATCTTGGCAATTATAATGATTATTTCTTACAAGATTTGGTCACACAATTACCTTCCTATGTGAGAGATTCTGGCCACATGATTGAAATTCTGTCCAGTTGCCAGTGGCATGAGGGGTACAGGTGGGTGTCCTTGGATGTGTTGTCATTATACACTAGTATTCAACATGAGTATGGCCTACAAGCAGTACAATACTTTCTATCCAAGGACAACTCCTTGCACCCCTCCCATATCTCATTCCTACTCAAGTGCATAGCGTTCACTTTGACCCACAACTATTTTACCTTTACTGGGCAATTCTATAGGCAAATCAAGGGAACAGCTATGGTGCCAGATTTGCCCCAAGCTATGCCAACCTGTTTATGGGCCTCTGAGAACAACACCACATTTGGAACCATAATCCTTTTGGAGCAAATCTGGTTCTCTATACATGTTACATCAATGACATACTCATCATTTGGGATGGCCCTTTGGTCACACTAAATGACTTCATACAATATTTCCAATCAAATCCTTATGGCATCGAATTCACACATGTAGGGAATGACAACAGTTTGGTCTTTTTAGACCTTGAACTTAGGATTGGGCCTGACTCATGCATAGTGTCCAAAACCCACTTCAAACCCACGGGAGGCAACTCATATCTGCATGCTGAGAGACACCATCATCCCAGATGGATCAACAATCTACAATTTTGTAGGCAGAGGAGGACCTGCACCTTGGTTGAGGATTATGACACACGAAGTCTTATCTTGAGAAATAAGTTTTTGGAGAAGGGCTATGCAGTGACCAAGATTGATGAGGCACACCATAAATATAGAAAAGAATATTCCAGCAGGACAAGCACCAAGGGAGATTCTACCATTGAATCTAAGTCAGGGACATGCAAAACATCCAACAACCAACATTATGCAGCATTCTGCACTAGGTTCATTCAGAATGGCTTTGATATCAAGAGAAACCTCCACAAATATTGGGGCATCCTAGTTCAGGACCCTCTTCTCTCTGGGCACATCCCTTCACAGCCAGAGGTGATATTTCGTCATCCCAGGGATTTGAAAAGCATAATAGAGTGACTCTTCCCACCAAGTGTTCTACACTTAGGTGGAGCACTCTGACCAGAAAGGCAGCTATATCTGTGGGATGCCTAACTGTGGAGCATGTCAATACATGGATCTACTCCAAGAAATTCCTTTTTTCCGTGCATTGCATCAAACAGTTTATCAACTGTGGGAAACAGTTTGTCATTTATTTTTTGGTCTGCCGTTGTGGTCTTTTGTACGTGGGCCGCACTTCACACTCTCTATGGACTAGATTTGGAGAATAGAAAAGAAACATACTTCATGGATTTTGACAAACACACAGTGTCTTGTCACTTCAGTGATGTACATGACGAAAGCACCAAGGGAGTATTTGGCATAGAAGCCATACTAGGTGATACAGATACGGGTAGAAAGATCCATAAGCTGTGCAGAAGGTAATCCCTTTGGATACATCAGCTTGGTTCACTGGTTCCTAAGGGCCTCAATGACATATTAGATATCCAGTCACTTCTTTGATTGGTACATCCTCTGGAGGTCGCTCTATTCACAGCAACCGATATTGGTCTTCATAGTTCTTTCTGCAGGTCTTTATACTGGAGATCTGGTGTAGCACCTTGTCACTTTGCCATATTTCTTGGTGCCAGGTCCCCATCGTTTGCATGAGCACAATATGACAACATTGGGCACCATGTGTGTGTGTATATATATATATATATATATATATATATATATATATATATATATATATACACACACACACAGTGTATGGTTTTGATATGAGCCCAGGAGAATAAATATTTCCCCTCCAGATGTTTTTTTTACCCCATTGGCCATCTGGGAGGTGTCCTATCAGTTGGTCTGCACACACGGACATCGTTTTGGGTGCAGATTCGCATTACATTTTTGTCCAGCTTATTTTGGTTTGATAAACTACATTTTCATTTTATCCAGTTTCCCT